ACCCACGGTTGGTTTCACTGGGGGTCCCAGTCAAAGTAGGGGCGAAGGGATACCTTGCTGTGGTTCCTAAGCCACTTGTTCGTTCAGGGTTAGCTCCATCGGCAATGGACAGGAGCATGGCGGCATTGGCGTTAGGATTCAAACTGACCAATTGGAAGGAAGTGACGGAACTTTGTCATGTCCATCAGGCATCGAGTGTCTTACGGAGAGGTATGAAATATGTCGGTGCCAGGCGGCTGGTTTCCTTGGGTAACGTAAAGCCTGGTGGGTGTGCTGAGGGTGGTATGTTACTCTACTTTTGCGGTGAGTTTGTTTGCGGTGGCCTTCTCGGGGGCTAGGGGCAATTTGGATTCGGGAGCTGGTGAGTGCCTTTTGGGCGGGTGTTGGGGGGTTCTACACTCGGTTGTTGAACCTCAGTCAGTTAAGGTAACGATTCGGTAGGGTTGTACAAGAACGGATGTGTCTAGTAAAGGAGGTTTGTAAAGCTATATTCCCTGCCAGGGTCAGAGGTATACCCAGCATCAAGTGCATCACGCTACTTGGAGCTTTGCCCGGACATCCCGGGTGGCTTACTGGTAAAAGGGGACGGATCAGCGCTGTCTCGATTCAATTCCTGCTGGGGTTTGTTCGGAGGGGTTTGACAATGTTGGGTTTGGATACCGGGCACTTTGGGGCCCTTTCTTTCCGGACTGAGGCGTCCTGTCTGTTTTTAAGTGAGGACCTGGGGAAACATTTAGGCAGGTGGGAGTCAGTATGGTTTAAGTCCTGTTAATGGCCGGTCTATTTGGTTTAATGGCTATGGACGTATGGGTTTGTGTTTGGGGCTATGCCTTGTCGCTAATTACTTGCATTTCAGGTTTGGTGACATGGTTGGTGGGTCACTCTTACATCTAAGGGGCGCAGAAGGGAGCTGTGGTTTGGGTCAAGCGCAACTGGGCTTTCCTTTGGAATTGGTGGAGCTGGAGTGGTTTTGGTTTTCGGGGGTTTTGGTGGCAAGGCATTAGTGGAGAAAATTTTCCGGAAGGTAACAAGGGGTACTGTCCAGGACATTCTGGTAATCCGCGAGGGCGGGAAGTATTACGGCATGGTCCATAAAAAGGAATTGATCAGGTATAGGCAGAGGGATGTGGACCGGCTATGGGAGATGGCCACAGGTGTGGTGGTGGTGCGGTCCAAGATGGTTCCTCGGTTACATTGGAGACATACTAGGTACCTGGCCGCGGTGGCTCGGTGTCGAGGACGAATTAATAAAAAAATTATGGCGGTATTTATCGGATGTGGGGGCGGTGTAACAGTGAGACACAACGAATTAGGAGGCAAGCTCCCTGGGTACTCCAGGGGGGATGATGTACGTTTGGGATGTAAGGTGTATATAGACTGTAAGCTCGTTTGAACAGGGCCCTCTTCAACCCTTCATTTCTGTGAGCTTTCTTGTAATAGTCTTATTTATAGTCAAAGCCCCCCTCTAATAATATTGGAAAGCGCTATGGAATCTGTTGGCGCTATATAAATCGCAATAATAATAATAATAATAATAAGGTGTGATCTGTTTAAATTGGGCCTTCAGGAAGGCATTCAACACGCTTTATTCCGGTGTGCTGGAGGTTGCTCAGGAGCTTTAGGTATCAAGTCCTGAGTTGTGGCAGGGAATGGCCTGGTTAAATCAGAGGGTAGATGGAGGAGAAAGTGGGCATCCTGAGGTTTAGTGGGGATTGGGCAGTGTTGCACATGGTTGGTAAGTTCCAGCCCGTCGGTGGCTCTGAACCTGGGGGTCCCTACACTGGAATTGGTGGGTAACGGTGTCTTGGTACATCCCTACAATCGATATGGTGGGTAGCGGTGTCTCGGTACACCCCTACAATCTGACCTGGTGGAAATGTGGTCATATTGGGCGGCCAGTTTCTGTATTAACATGTTATTTAGATTGTTATCTATTGTTATTATTGTGGGGTCATTGCTAGGGGTATGTTAAGTATATGGGGAGATGTAAATTTTAATAAGATTTGTTGGCAATGACCCCATTTGTTATTCCTTAATTATTTTATTAATAATTTAATAAAGCTGTGGACTAATTATTTCCAACGGTATAACCTGTGTCCGTGTTTTAATGGGGGTTTGGGTAAGGTTAGCACATATGCCGGCAAATCCGACTGTGCGCCTGTCAATAAATCTCCAGCAGACCTTGCTTCCTCCAGAGTCCAGAACAAAGTTTCACTCCGGTTAATTTTTTGGCAGACAGTCAAAGCATATTTGTAACAGTAAGAGAATGCAGATTATGTCATCCTCCAGCTAACTCTGCAAATTAACCCTGGAATTCTAAATCTGTCAGTTCCTTACTGCTACCTTCAGACAACGCTAACTGCAACATATGTTGTTATGTTAGAGTTTGTACACTGTCCGATTAATTTAATAAACTGTAATTATTTAGTGAATTGCAAACTTCAGGCTAAAATACTCTGCTATTTCTTTAGCTTGGCTGCCCCTTGCACACAATTCCTAGTTTAATGATTCTGTCTCTATATGTCATTATAGTCGACATACCCCCCAACATTAAAAAAGGACAAAAAGTGACACTTTAATTTTGGAGGTGGAGCCAGGGGCAGGGCCATCCTGAGACATTTTAGGTGATTTACTAATAATTTCCGCAGTTATCATTTATTATAGAAGAAGGAACACTGCATCTTAATCACTTAAGGACGACGACAATTGTCCGAATTTTGACCCAAAATAAAACCTGGAGTTTGCGCTATATGTCTGTTTAACCATAATTCATCTCTTTCATATTGAGTATACCCACACCTTTTATATATCATTTAATTCAGGAGAAATAGGGCTTTAGTTTCACACCAAATATTTATCTATGAATCATAATGTAAAATATCTAAATTCTAAAATACAGTAAGACATTAAGAAATGTTATTTTGTTAGTTCTGTGTGGCATGTTAACTGTGAATGTCATAATACTGTTGGCTTTCACTGCAATAAAATACACATATTTGCATTCAGCGATGTCTCATGAGTAAAACAACACCGCACATATACAGGTTTTATGGTGTTTTGCAAAGTTACCTGGTCAAATATAGGGCTTTCCCCTTTTCAGTTTACACATTGAAATTTGCCAGATTAGTTGAGGTGCCTGCTTGACACCTAGTGGCAGCCCAGGAATTAAAATGACCCCTGTCATGGCATACCATTTGCAAAAGTAGACAAACCAGGGGATTCTAAATGATGTATGTGACTAGACCAATCTCGCCACTGTGCATTGGAGGAGCCTGGTTGCCCGCCTGCTGCCTTTGGATTATGGCCCCATGTTAAAAGGCTTGATTTTCCCCTGCAAAGACAAGAAAGCTGGGTCATTCAGTGCTGGCCCTGTTTGAGCGGTGATACCCCAGATAGCTATGCCATGGAGCCTATTCGTATAATGAAAGACTATGGGAAAGACTTTGGCTCCATGGCAATTGAACTGTCTGTGTGTGCTCTGAGCGCCATTCAGCAATAATGTGCGCTCAGATCTGAGCTATCTGGGGATATGTTGAATGTACCTGCTTTGTGCAATGGCTGCACAGTTATATGTTTTTATGTGTTTTATTGCCTTTTGCTGCCATGTGTTCAATGGAGTTTTGCCTCTGTCCTTGGAGATAATTGGATTACTTCCCAATTATCTCCAGGATAGAAGACTCTGTGAGTTCCACAAAGTCTTGTATCCTGGAGATAATTGGGAAGTTTTGGGCAGAAAAGCCATGCTTCCTTTGTTCACAAAGGACTACGATCTATCTTTTGAACCACTGGACCCATTTGGACATATGTTTGACATATGTTTGTATTTGGAGTATGCTGATTCTGAAAATGTAAGTGTTATGTGAATGTGATGCATACTTTTCAAGTTATGAATAATGTGGAAAAATTGTATTTCTCTGCTTGTGATAATTACATTACCCATTGTGTAAGGTAATTGTATCACAGGCAGAGGGGAGAATTTTGTGTGGGAGTGTCTGAGTGTATTGTACGTGTTTATTGGTTGTTTTCAAAACCCTGTGGACTAATGTATAAGAATGTGTATATAAGAACAGTAAACCCACAGCTCTGTCTCTTCCTGCTTGACCCTCAAAATGGAGCCTTGTCTCGTTCTTGGGGGGATTTATTGTATGCTGTTCCAGTTTGACTGCTAGGAGTGTAAACCTATTCGTTTGGTTTTTCCTATTCGACTGTTTACAGCATTCGTATGGTTCCGGTTTGGCTGTTTACGGCATTCACGTGCTTCTCCAGTTCGGTGGATTGGTGTCTACAGTAGCTGCCTGTGTCTCTGGAAGGGGAAGATCTTCTAAACGGCTATTTTAACCCCTTTTATGCCTGGGGGTGCCGTTACAGTGTATGTTCAGTATTGTTTTGTAGCCACTTAATCATAAACCCAGTGTTTGTGTGTGTGTGTGTGTGTGTGTGTCAGTGTGTGTGTATCTGAATGTGATTGTGTGTGCCAGTGTGTGCATCTGTGTGTCAGGGTATGTGTGTATCTGAATGTATGTGTTAATGTTTATGTATATCTGTGTAAGTATGTATGTACCAGTGTATGTGCATCCCCTCCAGTTAACCAAAAACATTACATACACACACCCCTCCAGTTAACCAAAAACATTACATACAAACACAACTCTACAGTCAACCAAAAACATTACATACAAACACAACTCTACAGTCAACCAAAAACATTACATACAAACACACCCCTCCAGTCAAACTCCAAAATTTATAAACAAACTCACCCCTACACTCAAACAACAATACTACACACAAAAGCACACCTGTATTTAAAAACCAACACTACATACAGACACACCCCTGCATGCAGACTCAAATTCTACACACATGTACACCACTGCATTCCAATGACAACAGTACAGACAAATACACCCCTAAATGCACACATACTTTATAGAAAAACATGATGACATTCAAATTCTAAACACGGCACACAAATGCAACCATGCAAGGATGGGCAAATGGTAGATTCCTATCTGGCATAACATTACAGGATATACCTTTTGGCCAGTCTTGTGCTAAGACCATCTCTACATTAGTTCTGCACTCAGACACACCATCAAAATGTGGGACATTAGGATGGAAAAATAGGGAATGTGGCCCAAAATATGGACCCTTGGGAGATATGGATCCCTGTTATATACTTTAAAAAGGCTACTCATACAGTGGTTAAGGTACTGTGAATCTATAGTCCTACCATATTTTAGAATTCATATATACATGATGTAATCAATATTTATTATTTGTTTTGTTAAAATGTGATTATTAATCATAAATGTGAAATATTAATAAAAACGTAAAACAAAATTGTAAATACTGAAGCGGTGAGACTTTCGTATTGAAACATTTTCCATAGATAAATATTTTTGAAAGTAAACTTTTGAAATGGATTGTGTTTACTTAATAAATGTGACTATGATGTAGGCAGTGAGAGTTTGAGTACATCAAAAGAGCTGAGTACATCAAAGCAATCTGGGAAACTGAGTCCTGTCTCCTCCTGATTCATTCATGGAACCAAGCTGCTGTTTGGCGCAGTTGCACTGGGAGCAGGAATTGGTGTAAAGCTAGAGCTCCTCGGGTGAAACATGCTGCTCCTTTCTGCGGTCGTGTCTAAAGAAGTGGTTGTGTCCATGGGTGTCTTCGTCGTCACGTTCATTGGCATATCAGCCAAGGTCATGTTGATGGTTATATTTGTGGTCATATTCATGGTCACGGTGGTGGTCACGTTCATAGAAATATTCATGGGCAGAGTTGTGGTGATGTCCGTGGTCATCGTGGTGGACATGTTCATGGGCAGAGTTGTGGTGATGTCCGTGGTCATCATGGTGGACATGTTCATGGGCAGAGTTGTAGTCGTGTCCATAGGTGAATGGTCGTGGCTCCTCAAGAGAGAGGCTACGATTATCACAAGCACAATAACAATGATGGCGAATATCATCCATATGAAGTATTTCTGAAAAAGAACACCAGAAAACGATTAGTACATATAAGTCTGAGATTGAAAAAACGTCAGGGTATTATTATTTACATTCACTTCTTTGGCTATGTTTTTAAATTTAACATTCTATAAAGCTCTATAAATGACCTTCTGCTATCTGGTGAGGGATCGAGATCCACCACACGTCAGCAACAAGGGTTTTCAGTAATAACTGTAGAAGAAAGGTTTGGGAGAGTAACCAAAAAAGAAGGCAAGGTGTCCAAGCCCATCAATTCATTTCTCTCTTTATTAACCATTCATAAATGGTTGGTAGCTGTTGATAAGGTGCCGTTAAACCACGCAACGTGTCCAGATCCATTGGCCTATGTGTCCCTCCCCCCGATAGAGTGCATTACTGTGAGATTTTGTTTATTTTTACATGGGGTTAACTGTAAAGTGCACAATCAAGGCATCAATTGTATCTCCTGCCATTTTTTTTGTTGTAGCATTTTATTTCAGCCAGGAGCAGTGGACTCTTGCACTAACTGTCTTTCATTTTCTCTCTTGTTCTGTCCGGGGAATTAACGAGTACTCTAGAACCCCAATGCTCATGCTGACCCAGCATCACAGAATAACTAAAGCAAATCGTAAAACCTGAATTGGATTATTGCTAAAACTATTTTATTAGCGACATCTGTCCATATCTTTATACAAAGCATCGACCTGCACGAAAGCAAGCTGCTAGGGAGGGGAGTAGGATGGGGGGTAGGAGGGGATTAGGATGATAGCACAGTATGCAGGGTGAGGAGGGGGTAGAATGTTGGCACAGTATGCAGGGTGAGGAGGGGGTAGAATGTTGGCACAGTATGCAGGGTGAAGAGGAGGTAGGATGGTGGCACAGTATGCAGGGTGAAGAGGAGGTAGGATGGTGGCACAGTATGCAGGGTGAAGAGGGGGTAGGATGGTGACACAGTATGCAGGGTGAAGAGGGGGTAGGATGGTGGCACAGTATGCAGGGTGAAGAGGGGGTAGGATGGTGGCACAGTATGCAGGGTGAAGAGGAGGTAGGATGGTGGCACAGTATGCAGGGTGAAGAGGAGGTAGGATGGTGGCACAGTATGCAGGGTGAAGAGGAGGTAGGATGGTGGCACAGTATGCAGGGTGAAGAGGGGGTAGGATGGTGGCACAGTATGCAGGGTGATAGGATGGTGGCACAGTATGCAGGGTGAAGAGGAGGTAGGATGGTGGCACAGTATGCAGGGTGAAGAGGAGGTAGGATGGTGGCACAGTATGCAGGGTGAAGAGGAGGTAGGATGGTGGCACAGTATGCAGGGTGAAGAGGGGGTAGGATGGTGACACAGTATGCAGGGTGAAGAGGGGGTAGGATGGTGGCACAGTATGCAGGGTGAAGAGGGGGTAGGATGGTGGTCAGTATGCAGGAGAAGAGGGGGTAGGATTAGTGGCACAGTATGCAGGGTGAGTAAAGGGTAGGATGGTGGCTCAGTATGCAGGGTGAAGAGGGGGTAGGATGGTGGCACAGTATGCAGGGTGAGGAAGGGGTAGGATGGTGGCACAGTATGCAGGGTGAAGAGGAGGTAGGATGGTGGCACAGTATGCAGGGTGAAGAGGAGGTAGGATGGTGGCACAGTATGCAGGGTGAAGAGGGGGTAGGATGGTGGCACAGTATGCAGGGTGAGGAAGGGGGTAGGATGGTGGCACAGTATGCAGAGTGAGGAGGGGGTAGGATTATGGCAAGTATGCAGGATGAGGAGGGGGTAGGATGATGGCACAGTATGCAGGATGAGGAGGGGGTAGAATGTTGGCACAGTATGCAGGGTGAAGAGGGGGTAGGATGGTGGCACAGTATGCAGGGTGAGGAGGGGGTAGAATGTCGGCACAGTATGCAGGGTGAGGAGGGGGTAGAATGTTGGCACAGTATGCAGGGTGAGGAGGGGGTAGAATGTTGGCACAGTATGCAGGGTGAGGAGGGGGTAGGATGATGGTCAGATTAGAAGTGAGAGGAATTTGAAATTACTCACCGGTAAAGCATATTCTGTAAAAGAAAGAGTAATCACAATTAATAGCGAATATATCTTGACATTACAAATGTAGACTGGATTAGCCGTATTAATCCAGTAGACAAGATGACAAAATAACCAGATTGTTGCAATGTGAATTATTACTTTTTGAAATTGGATTAAAATGTATATTTAAATGAAATGCATACTGCATTACTGCGGTTATTTTGACAACATTAAAATAAAATATAATTAAAAAAAAAGTCAACATGTGGGGTTTCATACTGTTTATGCAATAAATATATTACAGTATCCGCTAGAGAAACTATTTTTTAAAATTCTTTATTTTTGTGTTCATTGTGATTCATACAATAAGAGAATGACATTGTGTCATGAATATATGTAAGATTAATACACATAGGAGTATTGTTACTTGACATTGAAGAACACTGCACTTTTTAGTATAGAGAGATATAAATTAGTTAATATAGGAACATGCTTAACAGAAGAGAATCAGGCTGACATGTCTAAATTTGAGGTGCCAGCAGGATGGTCTAACTTAAAGGTAACACTAGACTAGGTATGTGTTTGGGTGTTGTATGCAACGGGTACCAGGCTAGTCTAATCTGTTGTGCACAGGACAATAAGAGAGGCGGGCATGCATTTTGCAGCAGTAGGCTGCATCTGCTAGGCAGTAGCTTGCTAATGACAGGGACCCCCTATGTAGTGCCTTACATGACTATATATGTATTACATGACTATATTTCTGTTCTCACCCCGCCCCCCCCCCAAAATAGTAATTTTAGTTAGGAGCTTGGTTGCTGCACGTCTGCTCAGCCTGGAAGCTAGACTCCGCCCTCTAGAGAAACTAATTTTTAAAAACAATGGGTACGGATCGTTCCCTCTGGGCTAATCCTTTCCTTATATTCTGCTAGTGATTACACGCATAACAAACCGGAACTATTACAGGTCTCCGCGGGACTGTATGTGGTCTTATCTAATGTGTCCTGCAAGGCAGATGTTCCGTGGTACAATTGCGTTACTTCCGGAAACTATTACAGGTCTCCGTGGGACTGTATGTGGTCTTATCTAATGTGACCTGCAAGGCAGATGTTCCGTGGTACAATTGCGTTACTTCCTGAACTATTACAGGTCTCCGCGGGACTGTATGTGGTCTTATCTAATGTGTCCTGCAAGGCAGATGTTCCGTGGTACCATTGCGTTACTTCCTGAATTCTACGAACCTCTCATTATTCTTTCCTTGTCTGTGTTGGAACTGTTTTTGTTAGTGGACTCCTAGTTAATGGTTTAAATTTCAATCAAAGCAATGTAAGTATGAGATTTATTCCTGTGGGTTACTCTAACACATGATCTTGGTTTTAAAGGACCCCCACCCACACTATTACATATAGAATAAACCACTAAAAAATCTAACTGAAGGGGACATAGAAACATAGAATGTAACGGCAGATAAGGACCATTACTAGTCTGCCCAATTTTCTAAATACTTTCATTAGTCCCTAGTCTTATCTTATAGTTAGGATAGCCTTATGCCTATCACACGCATGCTTAAACTCCTTTACTGTGTTAACCTCTACCACTTCAGCTGGAATGCTATTCCATGCATCCACTACCCTCTCAGTAAAGTAATACTTCCTGATATTATTTTTAAACCTATGTGTCCCTCTAATTTAAGACTATGTCCTCTTGTTGTGGTAGTTTTTCTTCTTTTAAATATAGTCTCCTCCTTTACTGTGTTGATTCCCTTTATATATTTAAATGTTTCTATCATATCCCCCCTGTCTCGTCTTTCCTCCAAGCTATACATGTTAAGATCCTTTAACCTTTCCTGGTAAGTTTTATCCCGCAATCCATGAACCAGTTTAGTAGCCCTTCTCTGAACCCTCTCTAAGGTATCAATATCATTCTGAAGATACGGTCTCCAGTACTGTGTACAATACTCCAAGTGAGGTCTCACCAGTGTTCTGTACAATGGCATGAGCACTTCCCTCTTTCTACTGCAAATACCTCTCCCTATACAACCAAGCATTCTGCTAGCATTTCCTGCTGCTCTATTACATTGTCTGTCTACCTTTAAGTCATCAGAAATAATCACCCCTAAATCCCTTTCCTCATATGTTGAGGTTAGGACTCTATCAAATATTCTGTACTCTGCCCTTGGGTTTTTACGTCCAAGATGCATTATCTTGCACTTATCCACATTAAATGTCAGTTGCCACAATTCTGACCATTT